ATACATTGGGGGCATTATATGGAAAAGCTTAAATTATTAATAGAAAAGCTTGTGATAGCTCCTGCATGTCATCAAATGAATCGAACCGATGATAAAGAAAATGTATTTAGCTTTGAGAATCAAAAGAAAAGGGTTAAATCTTTTTCTACACTACCACAAGTCAAAAGAACTAAAAAATAATATTTTTATATTTTGTTAACATAATTTTGTAAATATAGTTTATTTATTAATGAAAAAGGTAGAAAGATAGATTATGTTTATGTAGATGAACATTTTCTTTGGTTTAAACTAGACAAAATGTTATTATTATTATAAATAAAATATTACATATTATGATTGCTCCCTGTATTTGATTATTATTATTATTATTGTTAAGAATTACAATTACCTGATGTTTACTTGCCTATTATTATTAGGCTGTGATTTAGTATTAAATTGATTGACAGGTTGGTGTATGTACCCATGACCATCCTGTAACTTGAACTTGTTTGAACTGTTTGTATCTGAGGACTGACCATCATTCCAGTAATTAGTTCAGAATTAATTTCATTTTGAATATTTTTCTTGTGAATATTATACCACCAGAATTAATGTGTCAACATAGTGAACAAAACACATCTGATATCATCACCAAGTCTGAAATCACTGATCTCAAATGTAATGGCACCTTCTACCACAGGAGGCATAAAGCCAAGGCTGTAGCTGAATATAACTATAAAAATTGTGATGGAATAAGGATGGAATAATAGAATCTATAATCACAGACCATAATGGGCACTTGTTAGATGGATATGTTGACAGGGGTAGTGATATGGCCAGGTCATTTGCCCAATTTGAAATGACCAATCCAAATGACCCAAATGACTAGGTCATTTCATTTGATAGTCATTAAGGTCATTTGGGTTGGTCATTTAACCAATTTATTGTATGACAAAGAGGTAGATCAATTTATTTCAAAAAAAAAAATATATTTATTATTATGTATATGAAATATGTCTTGAAAAAAGATGGAACAACCACTTTTACTTTATCATTGGCCCTTCATCCATAATAGAGAATTTCATTTTTAAATATGAGATTCAATAGAAACTATTCTATGGCCAATTGGAGGAGTAATAATTACTTGTCCCCTTTTTTCAGATATTTGGAAATTTTGGATGCAATTTCTTGATTGGTGGGAGAAGTAGATGAATACTGGTCATTTCCATTTAATCTATTTCTCGGTACTGCACAAGCATATTAAGAGAATTATGCCATGAAGCTTCAAATTTTATCTTCTGAGAGAGATTTTCTATTTCTAAAATAAAGCATTCTCAATCAAAGTCATCAGGATTTTCCCCAATTTATTCTTTCACTCACATACATCTGTTTGAGGTCATACTTCTTATAGATAGTGGTTTCAGATTGGAAATTGGTTCTTTCTGGGCAGACACTCTATCTCCTTTGATTGAATATCTTTGGTTTTGTAATGTAACTCTGGAGATAGCTCAGAAATCAGCTCAGGAATTTCATTTTCAGGAACATTATTTCATCTAATAATGTACTAATAATTCATCTTCACTGATTTGGAACTGTAATTCTGGACTTTTTACTTCGAGTTTAGCTGGCTCAGGTATAGAAGAATTAGCTTCCATAGATATACTTGGAACTTCCATACTTTTCCCTGAAATTTAGCCAGCTTTGGGGGAATAGGAGGCGAAACTTTTTTGGGCTCAGGTACAGAATATTTACTGCATTCAGCAAGAGATTTAGGAATTGGCTTTTTGGGTTCTGAAGATGGTATTTTTTTTGGTAGAAGGATCTTCAGTTGGAAGAATTTCAGTAAGGAGAATATTTGTGTTATTTCCAGGCTGATAGTCTCCTGGATCATTGAGACTCTCTGCATCATCAATCATATTTCTTTTCCGGAACAAAGCATATAGACTTGCATATGAAATTTCATACCACTGGACCCTTTTATTACTTTTTTGGTCCCCTGTTCTTTTTGATTTAGGTTTTAATCCAAGATCTTTCAATACATGGGTAAATTCTTGTATGGTGGGGGAATATTAACCAGATCAAGAATCCAATGCTTGTACTATAAATCTCTTTTTTTCAAAAAATGTGTATATATATCCAAAATTTGGTACAAAGAGCTTGGCACAGCTGGTGGATATATAAAAATCCGGTAGAAAGAGTGGGTCAAACATGGTACAATTTCATCCTTGTACCAAGATAGTATTGAATTTGAGGTTTCAGGTGTAAATTAATGCATTTTTGGATAGAAAAATGGCTTGGTGTAAGGAAGCAAAGGAAAAAAAATATATAATGGAGAGTGAGATTTATTTTTTTGAAAATTGTCCTTTGCCCACAGTAGTACCAGGAAATTCAGTACCGATTTTGATGGATTTTGGCTGATTTATTATGTTTTAGGTATGTTTGGGTTAGGTTTCTGATCAAAACTATCTCTTTTAGTGGCCGAAATTTCTAATATGCTTTGGGCAAAAATTAATTTTTTATAAGCCCAAACTATTTTTTATTAATAGCTGAAATTGAGCAAATTATTTTGAATTATTTTTCATGTTCATTCTTATAAAAATATTGAGAAGCACAAACTATTGTCAAAGCTATATAGCAGAGACAGCTACAACAGGTATAGCAGCTGACAGAATTTATGGTGTTACCTTACACTCCTATGCTGGTGTGGGGCTTGGAAAGGAGCCTGTTAGCAATCTTATTACAAAAATACACAATTCACGTCTTCATTATATTCAGTGGAGGATTATCAATAAGGTTGCTGGTGAAATTGAGTAGTTACGGCTGGTGTAACTGGTGAAACTATTCCACCAATGGTGCAACTCAAAGGATGTTTGTCGAAATTGCCGTAACT